ACACACACACACACACACACACACACACACACACACACACAGGGGTTTTCTTGGTACCTAATGCTGCTCATGCTGCCTGCTTCTGATCCCAGCTTGCATCTCTCCAGCTGGGTGGCAACAATCTGACGCTCAGCCTCAAGTTCCCTGGTCAGACGCTCAAACTGAAGCTCCTGATGGAAGACATAAAAAGAAATTGCGTGTTAGGCGGAACATGAGAGAGAATGAGAGAGAGGAAGAAAGAAAGAGACAGAGAGCACTCGGGGTCTGCAGAGGAAGTCAGGTATTATAGGTCACCGAAACAGCTTATGGCTGGAAGACGGCTCTAAAAAAGTTAAAATAATTGTGCTATCAAACTTGACTGACAGGTGAGAAAAATGTGTTAGGCAATGTGTAGGCAGAGTGTTGTGTTGAAAGTGTTCTAAATATGTGAGCAAAGAATCGCTTCAATCCCAGCGACTGTGTGGCACTCGAGGGTCATGAATGTGAAGATATTTGTGGAATTAATTAAATGTATCGCTCCCAAATAAAGTGTGTTCCTATTTGGCAGGTTAGACAGTTAATAATGTCATTTACTGAAAAAAAATATCTACTGGTGGGATTCTGTCTTTTTTAATCAATTTTAGGTATTTGTATTTTGAAACCTTTGTATTTAATGAAAAAAGGCATTACTGCAGATGAAATTCTGTCACAAATCCTGACAGTAAAACAACCTGAGTCCTGACAACTTTTCAATATAATTAAATTTACTCTCATATTATCACAGCCACATTAAAAAAAAGAGCTTTATGTGTACTCTGTGGATTTAATGGTTCTTTTGCTACAGATAGAGAAGGCTTTTCAGTGAGTACAGTTTGGTGGGTTGCAGGTTACTGTCAGGATTTTAAGACAGAAATCGATGGGGAGAACTGCTTGTGCCGATTATATATCACTCTTAACCAAAACTTGCCTGCGTGTGCATGTGTGTGTTGATGCATTAGCTATTTAAATTCCTGTTCTGTCAGTCATCATGATCTCCAGTCACTAATTTAAGTGTCTAACACCCAACAACACAATTTAATTTTTCTTTCTCTCCTTTAGCCCTTTTTAATGAATGCACCCAATAACAGCTTACACACTCTCTCTTTCCCTGGCTTGGTGTCTAAAAAAAACTAATATATTTTTTGGAATTAGCTTAAGTGACATGTGTCTCCCAGGGTTGGGTATAACCGATTACAAACAGATTACATTGATCTGTGAAGTAATGCATTTTTGTATTGTAGTTATGTTGTTGCTTGTTTGAAAAAGTTTCTTCAGGTATACGCAAATGTGCCTTGCAACCAAGCATGAAACAACTATCCACTGCTGCCAACACCATTCTTTCAAAGCAGCTGCATTGGCAGCACGCTAACACAAACTGATGCTAAGTGTGATGTTAAAGCGGAGTGTGTCTTTGCTAGCCGACCCTAGCAAAGACAAAAACCTGATCTTTAACAAATGACAAAACAGTGAGTCAGGCTTGTAGCATTGCACCCTGTATCCTCCATTTCCACACATACCTGTTTCTGTGGTAGAATCACTATGGTGATCATTCTGAAGTTTTTTCAGCTTTTCTGACAGCTTTGTGTTAATACTTAAACACTGAAAGACAGATCTATTTGCCTTCACTGGGATAGGGGCTTGTATCCATTTGTGGAACTGTAGCCTAACGTTTGTATTGTTAACTGACAAATACAGTACAATGCACACACACACACACACACACACACACACACACACACACACACACACATATATATGTTTCAAAGTATTCTGAAGCCCATTTTAGACCCATTCCATTTTGTTAATAACTCACTCAGTTTCAGCCACTTCTATGATTTGCAAAGTAAGGTAATGCTGGAAATTTGAGCAGAGTCTATTAAACCCTCTGGGCCTGTAATTCCAATTTACGACTTTGTTTTACAGCAAGGTGCCTCTCTTCAAAGCTCTGCTCTGTTCTGCTCCCCAAAGAGACTGCTTTGTCACCTTGTTTGCCATAGATGCAACTTGTTTAAATCCTCGAGGTGCAAAAATGCAAATCCCTGTACCGAAAGTAGCATTATGCTAATTGATGATGTATTATGCCTCAATGGTAGGGTATCTTAAACACCTTCTGAGGTAACATGGTAATGTCTGAATGCTAAACCCAAAGAGAAACCTGTTAGGCAAGTTACAGTTAAATTATGCATAACCTTTAGTCACAGCTTTATTTCATTCATATCCCTCCGTCTTAGGCACTGCTATGTTAGTGATATATAATAACACTGTTCAAACAACTTTTTTTTAAATCTTAATTTATTTCATCTGTTTTTTATTTTTTTCATCCAATCAATACTGTTCTTCTCATGTTTTCTGTGTTTTATTTATTTCATTTGTATTTCATGTGTATTTTTTGCCTTGTGTAAACTGCTATGGTGTTCTTTATTATGTCTTTTATTCATCCTTCTGTAAAACACTTTGGTCCATTGTGGTTGTTTTGAAGCACTTTACAAATAAAGCCAGTATGGTATGGCATCAGAAAGTTTCCCATCAGTGAATTGGCCAAAGGACAGTTTATGTTTACCAGATGACAGAGCTCGGCTGACTTGTCTAAGTACATGCCATTATATATTCTTATTAACTAGAGCTACAAGGCAGCAAAAAGCATACTTACAGCTTATTACAAAAACATTTAGGAGTTTGCGCTCAACTAAAATTATGAACAGAATGCCTTTCTTGTATACGGTCAGTAAACGTAGAAATGACAAAGCTCTTGGCAATCAGAAATTATCAATTAAAAGGAGAGCTGGCTGCACTCATGCAAAAGTTTGGGCAACTCTAATCAAACCTTTCAATTGGTATGCAGGTATAAGATCAACTAAATTTATAGTTGGGAAAGCCTCTTCAAAGGAACTCCTTAACCTTCTACAAATTAAAATAAGAAAAAAGCAGGAATTTTAAAAAAGTACCAAATTGTGTTTGTATAATTAAAAGATGTACACTATCAGAAATGATGGAGGTGAAGATGAGCTTTGGAGTTCTACACCTCGATAAAGTCTCGATAAAGTTAAAATAGAACCTTTTGGCCATAATGAGCAAAGGTGTGTTTTCAGAAAAAAAAAACGGATGTTGGAAGTAACACCTTTCGAACCATTAAGCACAGGGGTGTTTGAGGGTTGTGTTGCACTCGGTGACACAGGGAATATTTAACTCGTAATTAAATATTAACAAATTATTAGCAAACATCACAGTGGCTGTAAAAAGTTAAAGAGTGTGTCCGAGTGTGTCCTTATTCCAATCCAGTCCTTACACCTTGACATGTGTTAGTCCAAGTGGAGTGGTGGTGAAGGATTTGTTAATTAATCCTTGGAGCAAAAATATAACAAACTTTGGGATACATGTGTCTTTCTTTCATATATATATCAAATTACATAGTAGGGAATATATATTATTTACAAGCTTCTCTTTACCATCTGTATTCGCTGGAAACATTAAAACTGGCCAACTGGCTCTATGACTACATTTGCTAATTACTATGGATGCAGGGAAAGGATAACTGTTTACCACTGGTAAAGCATTTGTATTTATAGTTATTTGTAGCAATTGCAACAAAACTTAACTCTGAAGCCTGATTCTTGATCACCACATTGTGTTGTGTCACAGACCTAATTGTAGCCTCATCACCATTCATACCGCTGCTTGAGTGCTAGCTGGATTGGAACCAGAATTACTGTGTGTAGGCAGAAGGTCTGCAATCCAGACTAAAATTGAACAGAAATAGTATGTTTTCTACAGTAGGATAATGCTTGAATCCAGCCATGGCCCTCACAGTCTCCCTAACTTTAGTATTGCAGAAAAAATTACATAAGACAACAAGCTGAGATTGTGGCATGAGAAGATCATCATACAGGTTGGCGATGTTACCACTGTTATAACAAGGCTTAAGTCTTAAAACTGTTTAGCAACTTAAAACGAGATGGTCCCTGTAATGTTTTCTAAGAATACATGTTGTATATACTCACTCCTCCTCCCAAAAAAAAAAAACATTTAATGATCCAAATCCATAATATAACAGCTGAGTAAACTGGGCGTTTTTCTGCAACAAAAGGAACCCTGCTCTGCTCACAACGTGTAAATGTAACTAGAAAGAAAAAGAAAAGTAGAAAGAAAAATAGAAGAAGGCTAAGTCTTCTAAAAGTAGAATGTAGAGTCTAAAAGTAGAATGAATTACAGTAAGTTGTGTTCTAAAACACAAAAACTAAAAGGGTTTTAAAAGATTTTGCACATGGTCATTCTCTTTAAAGTGATCTGAATAAATTTGAAGACAAAGATTGGTTGTTTTTCTATACATTATTACAACTTTCCTTAAGTTTTGTGTCTGCTGGAGAAAATGTATCCTCTTTAACAAGCTTTAAAATGTTTCTCGAAATAAAGCTAGTTGGGAATCACTGAATAACAAAATTTCAGAAGCTTAATTTATATGATGAACATTCAAACTTCATCATCTGATTTCTCTTGCTTAAGTCCAAAGAAACATACTAAACATTTTATTTTGTATGATGGACATTACCTTGATATACTCCTGGACCCCAGCTCACCAGATCCAAAAATGATCAGATGGTATGTTTTGGTTCTCCTTATGCTTTGTCTGAATAGGCCTGTCAAAATGCAAAAGATGTAAAATGACACTATACTGTGTAAGCTTTGTGCATGTGAGCCATCGCATCCCCCTCAAGAACAAAGAGGCGACACAAATCAGCAGCTGCAGTCAGCCACAAAGGTCTCTATGGTAACAGTACAGACCCCTCCACACCTTCGACATTATAAATTAGGCCCTGGCTCCTCCTACATGCAGCTCCTGCCCTTTCGCATACCTGAACTACTCTCAGAGAAATGTCTGCACCTTCATTTAGTCGCCCACAGAAAGCAGACGGTGGAAGGCGTGGGCAATAGTCACAAGTGTATTTACAGAAGACTAAAGAATATATACCGTGTATAAATATAGTTTTTAGTGCAGATGCAGATGTTCATCACCAACATCCAGTAAACAGCAGAAGCTTCCTTTTTTATAATAATACTGTGTATGACCTGAATATACTTTGTTTCCAAGTGTTTTATCAAACTTAACTGGATGAAGAGTTTCAGCAACTACACAAACTGTGTGCGGCAAATAAGT